GCAAAATGTATGTTGGATATATCCATGAAAAAGTCGTGTCGATATTATTTGAATTTCATGTAGAGAGTTAGTGTTAAAATTTATTATTTTTATAAAATAACTATTCACTAAATTTAAATTTCTAAATACAGAAATATTGTTATATAGAGAAAATATTTATAATCAAATTTCTATATTTAATATCTTGTAATCTTAACATTACTTTCTTTAAATAAAATGTGTACGAAACAATAATGTTGGAGCGCATTCCATAAATAACTAAATGTATATTTAATTAAAAATAAATACTAAGTAACTTTACGATTATTTATTAGGCTTCGATCTATAATAATAGATTTATACATTCTTTTTTTTATATTGCGAAAATCATGGCACACTAAAATCTAACTTGGAACAAATTTGCTTCAAATGTACTAAACTACAAAAAACAAATTAAAAAAAAATTAAACTTTTGTCTATAACAATAAAGAAAACTAAATATATATAACCGGTACGCCTCTTTGCACTTTAACCTAAAACGAGGCCTAGATCCAGGTTGAGTGCAAATTTAGCCTACCGGTTTTAAATGAAACTCACGCCAAAATCAAAAGTATATAGAAAATAATATAAAATTAAATCATGTAGAACATTATTTTGCTCCTTTCTGACGAATAGCATAAAAATTGTATATATATACATAATTTTTATTTAAATTTTTCTTGCTACATGTTTTCGACCAGCTTTTCGATTATATATAAAATATTCTCGTTCCTTATTGAAAACGAATATATTGTCGGTAATAAAACTCATTTTTCTTGGACATTTGCATATTTTTTTATGTAAAAGAAATACGGACGACGAATATTTTTATGAACACGTTTTTATGCAAAAATCTTTGCCGAAACGAAGATGTAAAATTTTGGAGGGTGTAATAATGTCATCTTGTGGTAATATATATTATATATGTATGTATATATTTATATATATATATATATATATATATATATACATACATGTGTGCTTTTTTTAACTAAAAGATCAAAAAACCAATTCATTGACAAGAAAAAAATACATTTGTCTAAATATATTTTTTCTTGTTTTTAAATAAGAGAAATTTTAAGTTTCTGGATTTTTAAGTTTCTGGATTTTAAAGTTTCTTTCAATTATTTGATTTTTGACCACCTTTTTTGGTTTTTGACATGCTTACCTGATTTTCGACTCACTTTCTTGAATTGCGACTTACTTTCTTAATTTTTGACTCATTTTTTAAAATCTTCACTCACTTTCTTGATATTTGACTAACTTCATTTTTATTTTTGACTAACTTTTTTGATTTTTGACTTTTGACTTACTTGTTTAATTTTTGACTCATTTATTTCATTTTTGACTAACTTTTTTTTATTTTTGACTCACTTGTTTGATTTTCGACCTACTTATTTGATTTTCTACTTACTTATTTGATTTTCGACCTACTTATTTGATTTTCGACCTACTTATTTGATTTTCGATCTACTTATTTGATTTTCGATCTACTTATTTGATTTTCGACCTACTTATTTGATTTTCTAATATCACTTTTTTTATTATTTAATCACTTTTTTGATTATTTAATCACTTTTTTGATTATTTAATTACTGTTTTGATTATTTAATCACTTTTTTGATTATTTAATCACTTTTTTGATTATTTAATCACTGTTTTGATTATTTAATCACTTTTTTCATTATTTAATCACTTTTTTCATTATTTAATCACTTTTTTCATTATTTAATTACTGTTTTGATTATTTAATCACTTTTTTGATTATTTAATCACTTTTTTGATTATTTAATCACTGTTTTGATTATTTAATCACTTTTTTGATTATTTAATCACTTTTTTGATTATTTAATCACTTTTTTGATTTTTTAATTACTTTTTTGATTTATCTATTACTTTTTTGTTTACTGTCTCATTTTTTGATTTTTGACTCACTTCTTTGATTTTCGACTCACTTTTCTGATTTTTGATAGACTTTTTAATTTTTGACTCACTTTTCTGATTTTTTACTCACATTTTTTATTTTTGACTCACTTTTCTGATTTTTGACACACTTTCTTGATTTTAAACTTACTTTCTTGATTTGTGATTTTTGGATTTCTAACTCTCTTGATTAGTGATTTTCTAGATTTTTAACTTTTCTGCATATTTACGTTTTGTGAAAATTTCCGTCAGAATTGTTGTGCCTTTTAAATTTTGGGTTTTCTCCATTTTTGCTTCTCTTGATTTTATACCTTCAAAATTTGTGGCAAAACAAAAGTGTTACATACAATACTTTTTGTTTGTATATAATTTTCTATGCAGTTTCATTTGTATGTATTTCATTTTTGGTAAAATAATGAACGAAATTAATCCTTGCATTCGCAGATTATAAAATTCATAGAGGTTGTCACGCTATTGTTTTATAATCCTTGGATTTATAATTGAAATATATGGTAATGATTTTGGTTTTGATAGAATGTGTTAATAATTTATCTAGCACACACACAAACACACACACACATACATACATATATATACATTATATATATATATATATATATATATATATATATATATATATATATATAATGACTAAACCGCATGTTTTGCGCAGTTTTAGTATGTTTATACAACTCCGTTCATTTTAAGAGCTTTAAAAATTTATAAATACCCAAAGTAAATAGTTTTAAATCTGTATATAGCTATTTTAACTATTTACGTTCCTTTTATATCATTAATAAATAAGTATTCATAAAAAACATAAATAATTGAAGTTCCTTAAACTTTATTAAAAATCTCAATTTATGGATTTTCAAGTTACTGGATTTTTGAGTTACTGGATTTTTAAGATACTGGATTTTTAATTTTTTGCATTTTAACTTTTTTATTTTGATTTTTAACTCGCTTTCTTGATTTTTAACTTCTATCATTTATTATAAAATTTAAGATTTATTCCTATAAATTACTATAGTTTAAAAAAATGCCTTGTTATAGATTTGAAAATGCAATGAAAAATAAAATTAGAATGTCGTAAATTAGAAACTATGGAGTGCCAAGGCTTAAAAAACTATCACTCGTCATAATTCACTTTGAAATAACCTAAAAAAATCCTGCAATTGAAATTAATTTATGCAAATAATCACAGATATTCTTAAAATGAAAAAAATCAGTAAAAATTGGTAAAAATAAAATAAATAAATAACTACAGAAAAACATTGGTGATGGTTGTGATATAGTTTAACTTAAACATGCGTGATAACAATATATTTAAATGAAGAACTTGCTCTAAAATTTCCAAAAATGTGCAATGGAAAAATGTGGAGCAACTCTTTTGTATGTGGAACTAAATTTTATAAAATGTGGAGCAATTTATTTCTAGCCAAGTAAAACCAATACAAAATTCTAAATCTTATGAATATGAAATAACTCACCAGTAATCCAGAAAAAACAAATAATGACTTAAAATCCTAAAAAATGTGGAGCAACTCATCACTAATTTAGTGATAACAAATATGGAATTATAAAACCTAAAAAAGTTTAGCACTTTATCCTTAAACTAAGTGGTAGTAAATAATAAACAAAACTTATGGAGCTACTTACCAATAACTCAGTGATCCTAAATTAATTCTCAAATCCTGAAAAAGTGGCAACTAGTTCTTCAATCAGTGACAACAAATTTTAAACTAAATCCTTAAACTTATGGAGCAACTCATCACTAACCAAGTGAGACAAATGACGAACTAAGCCCCAAAAAATTTGGAGGGAGTCATCCCTAACCCAGTGACACCAAATGATAACTTAAAACTCTCAAAATTGTACAACAAGTTATCGCTAACCTAGTGATAAAAAAATTTGTGGAGCAAATCATCACTAACCAAGTGACACAAATGATTAAATATATACCAGAAAATGTGGAGCAAGTTATTTTTAACCCAGTGACACCACATGATGACATAAAACCCTAAAAATTGTGCAACAAGTCATCTCTAACCAAGTGATAACAAATTTTATGGAGCAACTCTAACCAAGTGATAACAAAACTTGTGGTGCAACTTATCACTAACGAAGTAAGACAAATGATGACCTAAACTCCAAAAAATGTGGAGCAAGTTATTTATAACCCAGTGACACCAATTGATGACATAAAACCCTAAAAATTGCGCAACAAGTCATCTCTAACCAAGTGATAACTAATTTTGTGGAGCAACTCATCACTAACCAAGTGAGACAAATAATGACCTAAGCCTTAGAAAATAAAGAGCAAGTCATCCTTAACCTAGTGACACGAAATTATGACATAAAATGCTAAAAGTTGTGCAACAAGTCATCGCTAACCAAGTGATAACTAATTTTGTGGAGCAACTCATCACTAACCAATTAAGATAAATGATTAATTAAACTCCAGAAAATGTGGAGCAAATCATCCCCAATCCAGTGACACCAAATATAAAACATGCAACCCTAAATTCTGTGAAACAAATCATCCCTAACCAAGTGTATTAAAAACATTTGAACTAAACTATAAACATGTGGAGAAAGTTATCACTAACCAAGTGAAACAAATGACAAACTAAACTCACAAACTAAAAGAAATGTGGAACAAGTCATTCTTAAACCAGTGACACCAAATTATAACATAAAACCTTAAAAATTGTAGAGCAACATATTCCTAACCAAGTGCTAACAAATTTGGAACAAAATCCTAAGACATGTGGAGCAACTCATCACTAACCAAATAAAACAAATGTTGAACTAAATCCCATAAAATGTGGATCAAGTTATCCAGTGACACCAAATAATATAAATTTATGTTATCATAAATAACATAACATAAAACCCTAAATATTGTGCAACAAGTCATCGCTAACCAAGTGATAACTAATTTGGTGGAGCACTTCATCACTAACCAAATGTAAAAAATGACCAAATAAACTCTAAAAAATGTGGAGCAATTTACCCCCAATCCACTAACCATTATACTATGACCTACCCTTTATAAAATGTGGAACACCTCAACCCTAACCCCCAACGACACCATAATAACCACCAACCAAACAGTGGCGTCCATATACTCCTCCACCGTACAGCCTTCGATATCTGACGAAGACGGAGTCTGGGGCCCGAAACGTGACGCCCTTTACATTGTCATACCCCTAACCATCATTTATGGGGCTATTTTGGTGGTTGGTTCCATAGGAAATGTCAGTACATGTGTTGTGATAGCCAGAAATAAATCGATGCACACCGCCACAAATTATTATTTGTTCAGTTTGGCGGTTTCTGATCTTTTGCTCCTGATGGCGGGGTTGCCGTATGAGATGTACGCCCTTTGGTACAAGTACCCTTATTTGTTTGGAGAGGCTTTTTGTGTTATGCAGGTAAAAAAATAATGGTAATAGTAATTAGATTAATGTCGTTGCTCTAGTGTTCCTTAGGAAATATTGTAAATTTTATCTAGTTTCGCCCTGTCTAACTGAAAAGGGATAGTTTCAAATGATATTGTTGAGTTGTTTGACAAAAAATTAAAAAAATGTCCCGAATTATCTATATTTATTGCTTGAGAATGAAATATCAAATTCAAAGTCGTTTTATTCAAAACTTTTACATCGGAGTGTCTAAAAGTGTTCCCTGGGAAACGTTTTAAATTTTATCTAGTTTCTGCTGTACTAGTGAAAAATTGTATTTCTAATACAAAATTTTAGATATATTTGAAAAAAATGTAGAAAAATGTGCCAAATTTTCCATTGCATTTATCAAAATTTAGATTCCAAAGTTGTTTTAAAAATAATAATATATTCTTGTCGAATTTGTGAAAATTGGAAATCGAGGGTATTACTATTCGATGGCAAATTAAAAATGTTATTAGAACAACTTTTTGAATCACCAAAATATCTGCAATAGTTTTTACAAAATTGCATTTTTACACTTTGCGAATTTTATAAGTTGTAAAAAATCAATATAGATTCTGCGAAATCGAAATGTTTAAAAATGCAATATCTCGAGAACGCTTTGAGATATTTTAAATATTCAAAAAGTCGCTTATATAATACATTCAGTTTGCCATCGAACTGTGTTATTCACGATTTGTTGTTTTAACTCTTTCACTAAGAATGTAACATTAATTTGCATACTTATATAGAAAGCATCAAATAACACAATCGGTAATGAAAAAAATAGAAAAAAAAATCGAATTCAAAGTCGTTTTATTCAAAACTTTCATATCGGAGTGTATAAGTGTTCCCTAAGAAATGTTGTAAATTTTATTTAGTTTCACTCTATCTAACTGAAAAGAAAATAGAAAATTTGGTACATTTTTTGGTTTTTGTCAAACAACTCAAAAATTTCTTATGGAACCACCCCTTTTTAGTTAGATGGGATGAAACTAGATAAAATTTACTACAGTTATATACACTCCTATACATTCCATGATTACAATTTTTTATCAACATTGAAATATTGTTGTTTTATACAAAGCAATGTTTTATATAACGAACTCTTATTATTCCCTTTAATTTTGTATTCCTAGAGACGAATCGAATTACGATTCGAAACGTGTATCATGATCTATCTGTTTATTCGATTCGGACAACAAACGATACAATTCTTTGTGTTTACCTTTGAAGTAGTAACTATATAGAGCTTTCATTCTAATTAATGTTTGACAAAGCTCGAAAGCTCCATAGAGAAATTCCCAGAACAGAGTACTGACATTTCAATACAACAACGGTAGAGGAACGTTTTCTGTTCATAAATAATTCATTATTTTCTGTTTATCTTTTGAAATTAAATTAAATATATATTATTATTATAAGACATAGCTGTATTTATTTATATAAAGCAATGTTTTGGTTTGAAAATAGCCTGTGAGTTGGGATAATGCTAAATGGCAATGACAAGTTGCATAAATATCAAGAATGATCCAGAATTTGCTAAAATTTTCAAATATATAAAAAGAGTGCGCGTAAGGTTCATACCCAATAGAAGTAAAACTTATTTTGCTACTGTACAGGATAGCATTCAAGTAAAAATAAATACATCGTATAACAATTTTCAATAATGTTTATTACTAATATGGTAAAACGTGTGATGCACACATTTATTACTGTCGACCATTATACACATTTATATAATGATAAATTATAAACTATATATTTATGATGGCATTAAAAATATGTATGATATTTAACAATAATAATGTAATTCAAGTCATACTTCAAATATGACATGATCGGTTTGTCATTGTAATTAGCATTTAGAAATGGAACTTTATTTAGAGAAATGAACTAATTGCTGATTAATAAATTCTATTATAAGTGGATTATGTTAAACAACGCCTAAACAAATATTATATTCGCAACTTCACTCATCATGTAATAATTGTGTTTGAAGAACTTCATGTAATTAAAATTAACATACATTCATTGACTGCTTGTATTTTTTTTACTTTTTTGCTGGCGATATAATATCATTCTTTGAACAGCTGTAATATCTGTCTTGCGTAAAAAATATTTTCTACTTTAATAACTTCAAAGATTTATAAAAACTACGAATAATATAGAAATAATTCTTAAAGAACAGGATAAAATATTCTTTTGATTCAGGCATTTTTTTATTAAATCAAGATATGTACTACGATGCAATTTTAAAATGTTTATCCCGAATTTTCTATATTTATTGCTAAATAATAAAAAATCCATTTCAAAGTCATTTTATTCAAAACTTTTATATCGAACTTTATATAACTGTTGGCATGATATTGTAGTAAATTTAATCTAGTTTTACCCTGTATAACTAAAAAAGAGTGCTTTTGTATGAAATTTTTGAGTTATTTGACAAAAACCAAAAAATGTCCCGAATTTTCTCTATTTATTGCTCAGGAATGAAATATCGAATTCAAAGTCGTTTTATTCAAAACTTTTATATCGGAGTGTATAAAAGTGTTTCCTAGGAAATGTTGTAAATTTTATCTAGTTTCACCCTATATAAATGAAAAAGGGTATAAAGTTTGTGAGTTATTTAACAAAAACCAAAAAAATGTCTTGAATTATCTGTTTATTGCTACTGAAGAATGAAGTATCAAATTCAAAATCGTTTTATTCTTAAAACTTTTATATAGAGTGTATGAAAGTGTTTTCAAGGAAATGTAGTAAATTTTATTTAGTTTTACTTTGTCTAACTGATAAAGTGTGTTTTTATATAAAATTTGTGAATAATTTGACAAAAACCTAAAAAAATGTCCCGAATTTTCTATAGAAAAATTACTAAATTGTATACATTTCTTAGGAAAGTTTTCTTTTTTTTATATTAATTGATTAAATCATTAGTAAGTAGTTTTCTATATTTGGTTCTATCAAATCTAAATATAAATGAAAATGATCAGTATGGTTTAGTATAATCTGCAATTAATTGGTGATCTGGATTTCATATCATTTAAATGCACCTGGGGATTTAGTTGCATAGTAATTATCCTGCAGGAAGGATTTGCTGAATTGCAACTGCGGATTTTGGATTTTGATTTGAAAGATATCAGTTTGATATCCATTAGTGTTATTTCTACTGAATATACTTTATCAATATAGTTGCATAAAAAATTCTGGTACAAAAGTTTTTTATCACAAATCGGGGCTTCCACAAAGACGCTTTGCAGAGTCAGCATTTATTATACTAAATAAAAACAGTATTAATAAACGTAATGATACTCTAGCTTTCGATGCAAACTATCAATATGCACTTGTTAATATTTATTTATCTTATATTACTTGCTACAGAAAATTTACAACTTGTCATGTGTATTTTTTTAATTACTATATTTGTTACAACTGCTAAATAATTTAACATCTAGTAACAAGAATGAACAATAATAAAAAAATATAATTTTTTTAATATTAGTTGTCTACTGTAATTTAACGTGTCTTTTTTCTTTTTCAGGGCCTTGCAGCCGAAACTTCAGCAAATGCAACAGTTTTAACAATAACAGCCTTTACCATTGAAAGATATGTGGCCATATGTCATCCTTTTTTATCTCACACAATGTCAAAATTATCCAGAGCAGTCAAATACATCATTGCAATTTGGCTACTAGCTCTCTGTCTAGCCATACCGCAGGTAATAATAATAATTAGACATATTTATATATATATATATATATATATATATATTATTTACATGTGCAAGTATTTTTAATGAATAAGTTTTAACACTAACGCTTGTACTAATTTTTTACATCTAAAAAATCTCATACACAACAACAATTTGCAAGGGCAAAAATGTTTAATATTGAATTCATTTTGCAAAAGTTTTTGATACTAAAATATTATTTATTTTTGCCAAAATGACAATGTACAACCTTTGTTCATGTTTCGACATTTTTATTTTGTAGAATTTAACCATTTTTTGGTATTTATTTAAATAATTGTGCACAAACCACCATGAGATAAAAATTAGTAAAAAACACATTTGTCTAAGCACAAATTATTTAATTCTACACAAATTCAAGATCATAATTTACCCCTTTTTTGCTAAACTGACTACATACCACCTTTGTTTATGATTCGGCATTTTTATTTTGTTGAATTTAACAATTTTGTTGGATTTATTTAAATAATTGTGCAGTCTTAAAACAAAGCAAAAACTAGGAAAAATATATAATGAAAAAGTTGGTTTTTAATACCATTTTAATATACGTGACATTTTACTGTTTTTCTTATATTATTTTTATTATTCAGAAATTTTATTTATTAATTTTATTATTATTATTATTAAATGAACATACTAGGGATATCATTTTAATAGAAATTCCTTCCATTATTTTGTACTCTTTTTATTTAAATTTATGTTATTGTTCATTCTTGTTAACACCACGAGATAAAAATTAGAAAATAAAACATTTGTCTAAGCACTAAATATTTAATTCTACACAAAATTAGAATCATAATTTACACTTTTTTTGCAAAACTGACTACATACATCTTTTGTTTATGATTTGGCACTTTTATTTTGTAGAATTTAACAATTTTTTTGTATTTATTTAAATAATTGTGCACAAATTACCAAAAGATAAAAATGAGTAAAAAACACATTTGTCTAGGCACAAAATATTCAATTCTACACAAATCAAAAATTAAAATTCACACTTTTTTGCAAAAACAACAACATACGACCTTTGTTTATGATTTGGCATTTTTATTTTGTAAAATTTAACAAGTTTTGGTTTTTATTTAAATAATTGTGCACAAACCACCATAAGATAAAAATTGTAAATTGTAATATATATATATATATATATATATATATATATATATTCAAATCAAACTTTCAATTTTTATGATACAAGATTTTTTATCACAAATCGACGCTTTGCAGAGTCAGCTTTCATTATTCTAAATAAAAACAGTATTAATAAACGTAAAGACACTCTAGCTTTTGATGCAAAAAATATCAATATGCACTTGATAATATTTATAAATTTTTGGCAAAAACCCTTATATTACTTACTACAGAAAATTTACAACCTGTTACGTGTATTTTTTTTAATTACAATATTTGTTACAACTGCTAAATGGTATCACATCTAGTAACAATAATGAACAATAGCATAAATTTCAATAAAAAGAGTACAAAATAAAGGATAGAATTTCCATCAAAATGATATCCATAGTATGTTGATTTAATTTAAAATAAAAGCAAATAATAATAATAGTAGAATGAATAAATAAAATAAATAAAATTTCTGAATAATAAAAATAATACTAGAAAAACAATAAAGTGTCTCAAAATGATATCAAAAACCTACTTTATCATTATGTAATTTGCCTACTTTTGGCTTTGTTTCAAGACTGAGTTTTAAATAATTTTAATTAAACATAGTCACGAATTATAAAAACTAAGTTTTGAATGATTGTAATTAAATTTGGTCACGAATGCTTCAAAAACTTTGTATAAAACTGACATGTAAACTTAGGAGAACAATTTATGAGGGGTAATAATTTTACTAAGTCGTTTTATTCAAAACTTTTATATCGGAATGTATAAAAGTGTTTACTAAAAAATGTTGCAAATTTTATCTAGTTTTACCCTATCTTATTTAAAAAGGGTGGTTCCATATGAAATTTTTGAGTTATTTGACAACAACCAAAAAAAAATGTCACAAATTATCTATATATATATATTGCTTAAGAATGAAATATCGAATTCAAAGTCGTTTTATTCAAAACTTTTATATCGGAGTTTATAAAAGTGCTTCCGAGAAAATATTGTAAATTATATCTAGTTTTACTCTATCTAACTGAAAAGAGGTAGTTTCGTATGAAATTTTTGAGTTATTTGACAAAACCAATGTCCCGAGTTTTCTATATTTATTACTTATATTTTATTTTATTTTGCCTATATAGGTTATAGGTTATTTACGATCGAAGCATTTGATTTGCCAAAATAAATGTTTGAGACTAGAGTTTGTAAGGTTTGTTTCTAAATTAAGCTTTTTGTAAATTATAGAACACAAAAGCCACAATTATATAATATACCAACAACAAATTTCTCTATTGCAATCACAAATCTTGAACAAAAACTTAACAAATAAATTTGGTATAAAATGTCCAGGTTGAATTTCAGTCTCGATATATATATATATATATATATATATATATATATGTATATATATATATATATATATATATATATATATATATATATATATATACATCTATTTCTGTATCAATCCAAGTGAATTTTATTTCTGTACAATAACTCACCCTTCAAGGACATCTCTAATACTTTTCTTATGATACAAAAATTTTCATGAATCTTTTTCGCCTTTAGAAGAATATTTTTCCCTCATGTTAAATATTCTGGGTGTTGACTTTAATTTTCATTTCGAGTCCTTAAAGTCATGACCGAACATAAATCGAGGAGATTAGATGCTAAATTTATAAAGACTTTGATGTAAAAGACATATGAAATACAGTGGAAAATTTTATCAGAGACAGTAAGAATTATTTTGTTGACTAGGTGTTCTACAATCTTTCTTCGAATCTATTATTTCTACATTACAAATTCTGAACTGCAAATTGATTTACATTGCACTAGTTCATACACCTACAACTGTGTTCTATTATTGTCTCGACAATTTGCACAGTTTTCTCTTACAAAGTATTTTAAAAAGCACAATTTAAATGTACAAAAAATGCAAACATAAAGCAAATTGTAGTGTGAAAGAGTTTTTTTTTGACACGGTTTGAGGAATATCAATCGATGACAAAAAATATTTCACGGTGGAGCAAAACGTGCAGAGAAAAATAAATTTGAAAAAAAATACATGGTATTTACACTGAAGTTGCAATTAATATTACAAAGCTCATAGTATTTAAAAATATTTTTTATTAATATTCTCGGCATATGTCCTTATTTTTTTCCTACACGTGCCAAGTAAAACACCTTATTCACCTCTATATAAATTACTCAAAAAGATTTATTCCGGACTTTTTTCCGGCAGCCACTATTTTTCATCCGGCATTGTATCACTTAGGTACAAATGAGGTGAAAACGTTTTATTTTTTCGGAAAAACTTCAGTAAATCACTCGAAAACAAATTGAGGATTTAATAGAAGACAAGTTTTGTATAAAAAATAAGTAGAGATTGAAATTTCTAGAGAAAAGTGGTAGTAAGATATAAATTTAGACTTATTTCTGTTGTCTATTTTTTTATTATAGTTATAATAATGTTTTTTTATATACAATATGTATATTAACATATTTGCTACAACAAAATTTTAGAGAAAAACCAATTTAAATAGTAACCATAAACGATACAGGTGAACAAGTTTTGCATTAACTTTGTATAAGTATATATTTAAATTTTGGTTACTAAAACCAATTTTATTTTATTTTTAGAAAATAAAATTCTAAAGCATTTTTCTAAGTAATTACAATATGTTTTTAATCATTTAAAGACAAATTATGAGATTAAACAAGAAAATACTTTGGAGACATTTTAATCAACTATTTCTCTTGAGAGTGAAATGTGTAATTTGAATTGTAATTGTTTTTCAAATGCAGTTTTTAAAATTAAAAAAAAAAAAAACTAGTGGTATATAGAAATTAGTTGAAAGTTCATTATTTAACATAATGAACTTTTGGGTAATAAAACTTTAGCTTTTTGTAAAAATGCTACAAATCGTTTTACTCAATGAAATTAAAATCAATGAAAATTTAGGTAAAAAGATATTTTTTTAAACAGTTAAATTTCGTAAATACAAAAAATGCTTTTCGAAACAAAAGTATAAAAAATTGAACTATTTACAAACACGATAACATTATTTTAGCTTTTAATATTAAGTTTTTTGTTCTGCAAAATCAAATAAAAATTCCGGTTCATTAAAAATAAAAAATAAAATTAAATGCTTGTATATTTTGTAAATGGTATTTTGTAGTTCATGGACAACATGTATTCTACACAATTTATATATTATTTATTAATAAATTTAAAAAATGCTATTTTTTGATACCCCATATGCATAAAAGTGCCTATAGGCAAGTTGCTGTTTTCTATATATTTTAATTGCAATTAAAAAATCTTGCAATTTGAAGAAATTAATTTAAAAGAATTTTTTACATTAATTTTGTTAAGCTTCTGAAATAATATTTTTTGATACCATAAAACTGCCTGCTGGCAAGTTGCTGTTTATCATATTATCAGGAATTTTAAAAGAATGTAATTAATGAAATGTGTGAACAAAATATTTCTTTCATCAAAATACCTAAAATCTGTAAGAGAAAATACTTATATTGTAAAAGTACTCAATGATAATAATAATAGTAATGATAATAATAATAATAATACTAATAATAATAATAATAATAATAATAGGCACTTAAATTTGTTAAAATATCAAAAAATAACCTAAAATGTGTTAAATAAAATAATTATATTGTAAAGGTATTGTAAAGATTATTAAAATACTTATTAAATTTAAAAAAAAATACTTGCAACAAACAAAGTAGTTATATTTAAAAATAATTAAAATTAACTGAATATAAATAAGTTTATAGTAAATAAATTAATGAATGAATAAGTAATAAAATAGCTAATAGGTAATCAAATTGTATTAAATCTGCAAAATATTGGCTTGAGGCTTATTATAATATTATTATACCGACAACTTGTAAATAAATAAATAAATAAGTATTGAATATGGAGTACCCCAAGGAATAGTTCTGGGACCATTAGTTAGATCAAAGTTAAAAAAAACAATTCAAACTTTTTTAACAGTTTTCAAATTGATATTGAAAATATTGACTTGAGCCTTATTATAATATTATAATACCGACGGCTTGTAAAATAAATAAATAAATATATATGCATATATAAATATATAATTACGAATGACTCACCTATAATTTTATTATGTAATCACAAAATCTAGAACAACTCCACGTATATAAATTATTTACCCAAATAATCGATTTTTGTTTGAGCGAGTTGCACTTTTGAATAGAAACAGTAGTAATTTTTTCCAAATAATTTATTTGTTATTCAAGTTGTT